TTATTTGTTAAAGGTTTTTGAAAAAGACACGTTTGACAGAATATTACTAATGACAACAATACCAATGAAGATAATTTTTTTTTTTTAATATTTATGTAATGGTACTGTGACAAATAAATTAAAAATAAATAGCAAAGAATATAACCAGTACCATATACATTTTTAAAAAGATGTATATGGTACTTAGGTGTACTAAGTGTCTACGTTATTTTGGAGAAATGTTATACGAGTTATATACTACAGATAGCTTTATTTACTTGATAAAACGTTGTTCTATAACTTTGCCACAAGCGACATATATGCAGTTCTTTCTAAAACTGTACAAGTTAATTTTGAAATAACGAGCATTTTGCAAATTAATCTCTTAGAAACAAAACTTGAAGCGACCGTCGATTTTGCATGCCAGTTACACGCTCGAAATCAAAGTTCAATAAAATTTGTATCAGCTGTACAGTAAAAATTCGATATCTTTTGATCCAAATGTCCTATCGACAAAACTCAAGATACGTTTTGAAGGCAAAGAATTCAGCTTTCGGATGCAGTTTTTTTTCTTTTTCAAGAATAAATTTAGTTTTAATAAACATGTTAAATAAATCAACGTGGAGCGATTTTTCCCATTTTATACGATTCTCGTGAGATCAAGAAAATTGATCACCTTCATTGACATGATTGACATATGACATGAAATTTAAATTTTGAGTTGTGGTAACAAATATGAGGCATTTTAAATATGAATAAAAATGCAGAATTTAATGTTTTACATTACACGTCACGGGAGATGCATTTAACCAGAGAACCACAAGGTGGAATTTGCGGAACGTTAGCAACAAGGTGGCGTCATATAAGACCGATAAGTTCGCTCTTTATATATCAATCCCTGCTATTTATCACTTTTTACGGAAAATTTAAAAATGTGCCGTATTCGTAACTTAAACTATAAAACTAAAGAAAACATTGCGTCACCAAACTTTTTTGTCAAAAAGTGTGTTAAAACTGGTAAAATAAAAAAGATGATAGAATTTTTACAAAAAAAGTCATTTACAATCTACACAAATGCTAAGGCGATGTTCGGCGCCTACACTTTTATGGCAATGTTCACATTTATTTCGAGCCTTTGTTCTTTTTTCGGGAACAGAAGTCACATCGACCTAAGAAATCATTTATCTTTTGAGCAATTTCTTGTTCTTCTTCGCAATTCAGAAATTTACGAATATTATTCCTAATTTCTCTTGGGAGGCGTGTATTGGTCATTCTTTGTTTCAAATAATCTTCTACAAGGGAATATGATAAATCTTTTAGAAAAGCGGACCGTTTTTGTATATCACATAGAAATTGAATCCAGCAGTATCAATCATAGCATACAAAATTCGAAGTGGCCACCTGCGAGATTTCCTCGAGACTGTCGTTAGATGACAAAGTTGATGAAAAGTATCAACGCCGCCTTTGTTTCATTGTAGAACAATATTATTTCAGGCTTCTTTGTTTTTTCGTCAATATCTGCTGTCGTGTGCATAGCTGATAACAATATAAGTCTTGTTTTTCTTAGGCACGTAAGAAACTAACGTGATAATTTCGTCAAAAATAAACAAAGATGAATCAATATGTTTTCCGTTTGTTTCCACTAATTTCTTTGGAATATCAGGTTTATTTTTTCTGATTGTTCCTACCAGCGTTAAATTCTTTTCCTGTAATTTTTCTGCGGCTTCGTATGAGGTAAACCAATTGTCCATAGTGCAATTTCTATTTGTCCCATGAATATCTGTTGTAAGCTCAAGCACGTATTGTGTTGGAATCGAACATTAACTTTTTCTTTCCTCCTTTAAAATATAAGGTTTAGCAGAGCACATATAATATATGGTTTCGCATCACAGATCGTAACGAGTTTGAGACCATATTTGTCGGGCTTATTTATCTTGAAGGGACAACGGCCTCTAAATCCTAAAAGCGTCTCATCAACTGTTACATATTCCGATGGAGTGTACATTTATCTACAGGATTTGTTGAACATATCCCAAATATCCCTGATAGCTGCAAATTTATCAATCTTTCTTCTGCCTTCTCTCGTTTCCTTATTATCAAACCGTAAACAGTTGATCAGAAGTTCAAAACGGTTCTTGTTCATAGTTGTCCTAAAGAGAACGGGTGACATGGGCATTTTTTAAAACACCGCTCAAATATTAAAGTGCAAACAACGCTCGTATGTCGACACTATCCGTTGCTCGAATATACCATTGCTCGCTTATATCTAATTTTCTTTCTTTTGATTTCCTCATTAGTGTACTTTACAATTATATCCACCAGTTCTTTGCTAAAAAAAACTTTCATGCTCTAAATTTTTTTTGGATCTACCATATATTTTTTCGAAACCCTGCTATTTTTGCTATGTAGACACCACCTACGCCCATTTTTAGCATACTTAACATTTTTTGTTTTAGACTTATTTGTACTTTCTACTGCAATTTCCAGAGCGACATCAGGATTTTCTGGAATTAAGGCATCCAATTCATCATCCTGCGTATCGTCTATATTTATGTTGTCTTCAGTTTCACTCTCATCGCTTTCTACAAACTCATCTGAGTCGCTAAAAACTTCGTTCGCCAATTGTTCTAACTCTAATTGCGTCAAAGACCGTCTTCTCTTCAGCCATTGCTCAAGCCGGGTGTAGCTACATCTAATTTAAGCCTCTTTAACTCTATCCTTATAGTAAACACTCTGTAATAATTGTAAGAAATAAATAATTTCAACAAAACCTTCATATTTACCGTCGTAAAATTCCAAACGTAATAACAAGTTGGCGTCGTATGCGACCGCTATCGTAAATCCCAAAACTGATAGAAACTGGTGCACTAACCTACTTGACGATCAACTGGTAACTTCTTCTTCTACTTTTTGTAGATCTTTCGATCTGTTTAATTCTGAAGCTGCCTCTGGTTAATTTCTTGGGAGGTAGATTGCCAACTATCCCTCCATCTTTTAGGTGGTCTTCCGGGGGGTCTTGAACCAGGCGGATTGTTTTCTAGGGCAATTTTTGGGAGTCTATTCTCATCCATTCGTCTTACATGGTTGTACCACATCCTCTTGCGCTGTCTTCCCCATCTTACAATATCTTGAATTTTGCACTGCTCTCTAATGTTTGTATTTCTCACTCTGTCCCTTCTTGTTTTCCCCATTATTGTTCTTAGGGTTTTCATTTCGGCAACCCTTAGCATCTGTTTCGTTTTGTTGGTATCTTCGCGCACTTCTATGCCATATGTCATGATCGGTCGTATGCAAGTCTTATAGATTCTAATTTTACTATCTGTGCGCATATACGGATTAGACCAGACTATCTCCCGCAGACATCCTGACAGTGCAGATGCTTTGTTGATCTGACTCCTCAGGTCCTTTACTGGGTCATGGGTGCTTGATATATCTATGCCCAGATATCTGAATTGCATCACCTGTTCTATGGGGTTGTCCTCAACCACTAACTTACATCTGAGCGGATCTTTTGCTATTGTCATACATTTAGTTTTGTTGGTAGAGATGTTCATATTTAATAGTCGGCTTGTTTGAAAGAACTGAAAGAGCTGCCTTTGGAGATCATCTTCTGATTCGGCAATAATTGCTGCATCGTCTGCGTAGCACACCATACCAATTCTTTTGTTGCCCATTCTATATCCGAGATTAAGAGATGTTACTTTGTTGATAATTTTGCCCATGAGAAGATTAAACAAGAAGGGGCTTAAACTGTCGCCTTGTCTAATTCCTCCCGGTGTTGGAATATTTTCAGTGAATTCGTCTCCTGCTCTAACTTTGGTTACGTTGTTGTTATTTAAATAACAACAACTGGTAACTAAAAATGCGAAAGGTAGATAGATGCTTAGCTGCGTGTGGACAATGAAATCAGTTTAAGAGCGGATAGTAGGATTTGCCGGTTGCGGGCACGCCACCTTGTGGTTCCAGGGTTAAGAAGACGGTTTTGGGTGTAGTCTATTGCAGAAGTTTTGTTCTTTTGAAAAACGTACTAGCGTAATTAAAAAAAGTTTTAAATGTTTTGTATCGTTTGTCGTGTGAAAGTTTAAATCCAGAGTTTTTAAGCCTATTTCAAGTGAATCACATTTGTTGACAAAACTCAAAACTAAAATTTTATGCTATAGGTTTTAAAGGTTAGGCTCCAGTAATCAAAACTTCATAGTGGCCAGTCAATGAAGGGGATATATTGTATTGATCTCGTGAGAATCATAAAAAATGGGAAACATCGGACCACGTTTATTTATATAATACCTGTATAAAATCTGAGTTTATTTGCCAGTTATTTAACTGCATACGAAAGCTGCACTCTTTACCTTTAAAAAGCATCTTGATTTTTGTCGATACGTTACTTGAGTCAAAATATATCGAATTTTTACCGTCGAGCTGATACAAATTTTATTTAATATTTATTTTGCGCGCGTAGCTGACTTGCAAAATCGACAGTCGCTTCAAGCGTTGTTTTTAAGAGAACGGTTCATTCTGCTTAAAAAATGCTTATAAATATTTTTGTTTAAAATTAACTCAGCTACATTTTTTATTTCAAACAATTTATCTACAGTGTACAGATTCTTGGTAAATCGATTTTTTGCGTTTTACCCCCGTGCGAGGGGGGTTTTAAGGAAAAGCCCGAGGGTAAAAGTGGTAAACTTTTTTGCATCTTTTTCGGGGTCCCAAAATTAATATTCTCTGCAAAATTCAGCTTGTTCGTATGATTTTTAAGAGGTTTAGTGGCATTTTCGTCTTTGACGACAGGAGTATACTTGTATTTTCAAATTTATTTCATCACAAGTCTTGCATGTGTCTTGTGTTACCTTATGTTATGTTGTGTTACCTAACTGAAGATGTTAAGTGTTGGTGTTTTCTTTACAAGCTTAGTATATATTACAGATTTACTTGACTATAAAATTTACTTACTTTACCTTTACTGTATACGAAACACTACATTAAACTAAAAGAAAATTAATCACTTGACTATCAGTACTTACTTCATCAGTATCAAATCTTTTTGATCTCCTAGGATTTATTTCAGGGGACGGTTTAATTTGCATTCGGCTGGCAATACCATGTGGTTTGTAGTCTTTATCTGTTTTATCGACAGGAGTATCTTTGGAGGTTGATGGAATACTCTCGTCCAATTTCTAAAAATATTGAGCGTTAGTAAGAAGTTTAGTTATAAGTATAACTTAAAATAATCTATTCTAATCACATCTAAAAACAGCATTACACTTAAACACTATACATTTTATCTAACCCTAAAGTGGAGCTGTATGGAAATAGGGATGCCAAAGGTATTAAAATAAAAATATAATTTTGTTCTGAAGCTATTTTCTTGTGTCATTTTAAAGTAATTACTATTTTAATGGGAATGAGCCACAATTGTAGGTTAAAATGAGTTTATTGACATTTAAATCTCAATTTCGGAAATCGTTCTCAAAATACAAACATTAAATAAAACGATATAACTTGCTATAATTTTACTAAAATCTGGTTGTATTTAGCGATCGCTGGAGATAGATGAAAATTTTTAACGATGTTCCACTGCCAAATTTTTATTACACTCTGAATGTATCTGCCAATATGTATTTAGCTGGATTTCATTCTATCAAATTTTATTTATATGCTATATTTATATTATATCCTACAGATCTACACGGTTGAGGATATTAATTGGCAGATATTTAAGAATCGTCAATTTTTTTCTATCGATGAGCTGGTAGTCTAATGGCTCCTCAGATCAAAGGGTTTCGGTGCGGACGTCAAATATTGCGTCTCTAAACATCGGCAGACGCGTCCGCGGACGACATCTACGTATGCATCTGGAGATGTGTCTTCCTCTTCTTCACGTGCCATCTCTTCTAAGAAGGTTGGCAACCATCATGGAAATTAGCGCTTTCGACGCCGCTGCTCTAAAGGTCAGCAGAAGTGCAGTTAAACCAAGCTCTCAAATTTTTCAACCAGGAGATGCGTCTTCTTCAGCGACTCCTTCTACCCTGTATTCTTCCTTGCATTATTAATTGCAACAAGCTATAACGCTCGCCCCTCATAACATGTCCCAGATATTGCAGTTTTCTGACTTTAACTGTATTTAAGATCTTTTTATCTTTTCCCATTCCTCTGAACACCTCGACATTCGTGACTCTATCTACCCAACTTATTCTTAATATCCTTCTGTAGGCGCATAACTCGAAGGCTTTCAATCTGTCCGAAACATATTTCTTTAAAGTCCAAGCCTCCAACCCTTAAAATAATTTTAATAATACGGAGAACACGTAGTATCTCAGAAGTCTTATCTTTAAAGAAATTGAAATGTCCATGCTGCAGAGTACTTTTTTCAGTTTGTTGAAAGAATTTCTTGCCTGTCCTATTCTTGCCTTAATCTCTTCTGTGTACTCAACTTTTTTAATTTGTTCTCCATGTATTGTTATGTTTTCTTGGCGCTGTTGGGCTTTTGTAATTACCATAAATTGTGTCTTTTTTGTGTTTAGGGACAGTTTTCTTCATTGACTTATACCACTCTGTCAACCATTTGTTGTAAATCCTCAAGACATTCCGCTAGTAAAATAGTGTCGTCGGCAAACCGTATATTATTGATTGGTCGGCCATTTACTTCTTTTCCCATAGTTAGTTCTTCTAGTGCTTCCTGGATTATTTCCTCTGAATACAAATTATACAAAGTAGGAGACAGGACACAACCCTGCCTGACGCCCCTTTCAATCTGTATTTCATTTGAAAAGACGTTGTTCTCTTGTACCACAGCGATCTGATTATAATAGATAGCGCTAATGATCCTGATGTCTCTCATATCTTTTCAAGTAATCTAGGTAACATAAGTTTTTCTTTTCAAGTAATTCGATAAGATGGTTATGTCTGACCTTATCGAAGGCTTTGTTGTAGTCCAAGAAACAGATATATACTGGTTGATTAACATTCATGCACCTTTGCACAAGTACATTCACAGCGAACAGGGCTTCCCTCGTTCCCAGTGCATTTCTAAATCCAAATTGTGTGTCACTTATGTCCTGCTCAAGTTTGTTGTGTATTCTCTGGTGTATAATTTTTAAAAATATTTTAAGCGTATGACTGATTAAACTTATTATCCGGTGGTCTTGGCATTCTTTTGCATTTGGTTTTTTTGGTAGTGTTATGAATGTTGACATCAGCCAATCTCTGGGAATGATTCCCGTCCTGTATATTGTATTGAATAAGTCGACCAATATTCCAATTTGCTGTTCTTCTATTAACCGTATTATGTCTACAGGTATTTCGTCAGGACCTGTTGCCTTGTTATTCTTTGTTCGCTTTATCGCCTCTAATACCTCATCTTCTGTTATGTCTGGGCCGTTGTCGAACTTTTCCTGCTTTAGTACTATCTCAGTCCGTTCGTCTTTAAATAGCTCTTGAATATATTCTTGCCATCTTTTAAGCCTTTCATCGACGTCTATAATTATTTTGCCGTTTTATCCAGCAGTATGTTTGATTTTTTCTTAATATTAGTGCCTGTTATTTCCCTAATTTTTTTATGAAGGTTTAAGTTATCATGTTTCTCCACCAACTGTTCGATCTCTTCGCATCTGTCACTATACCATCTTTCCTTTGCATCTCTGATCTTTCTCCTTATTTCTGTGTGTATAATATTATACATGTTTTTGTCTTTGGTTTTATAGGATCTTCTTGCTTCCATGAGATCCAGAATCTCATCGGTCATCCATTCATTTTTGTTCTTGATCAGCTTAGGTGTTAGTGTTGTCTCACATGTGCGTATAAGAGCATCTTTTAATATATGCCATTTCCTGTTCGCATCTTCAGTAGGAATAATTTCTATTTTGGTGAGCTCTTCTTTAATTTTTAGTGTGACTTGCTCTTTTGTTGATGGATCTTTCAAACGGGATACTTGTATCCTCTCTACTTTAGTTTTAGCCACAAGCTTTTTTAGATTAATTCTAAACCTTCCTACAACTGGGTTGTGATCTGATCTTACATCAGCTCCGGGGTATGATTTTACTGATTTTATGGAATTTCGGTATCATTTGCAGATGAGAAGGTAGTCAATTTGGTTTCTGATGACGTTATGTTGGTTGTCTGCTGGAGATTTCCATGTATAGAGTCTCGTGGGTGGCAGATCATAATAAGTATTCGCGACAATAAAATCGGTCTCTTGGCAAAATTAAGTCAATCTGTCTCCTTTCTCGTTACGGGTGCCCAGTTAAAAGTTTCCAATAAAATCACCTTGACTTCCTCTACTGATTTTTGCATTCAGATCTCCCATGACTATTGTAACGTCTCTAGACTTGGTTACTTCTAAAGCTTGTTGTAATTCATTATAAAACTGTTCGAGCTCTTCATCCGACTTTTCTTCAGTGGGAGCTTATACTTGAATTATATTGACTGTAACTATGACAGTTACAAATTTCTGGGTAGTTTTGTCAACTAATATCGCTACTCCGTTCCAGTGATTTGCGTCGTTGTCATTACCAGAGTAGTATATCTTTGTTTGGCCTACTAATATGTCACCTGAATTGAGTCATCTGGTTTCACTTAGTCCTAACATTTTTATGTCAAGTCTTTCTATTTCCTGAATGACATTATGGACTTTACCCGCTTGGTATATTGACACATTCCACGTGCCTATCTTCATACACTTTCTGTCGATTTTAGTCTTTTTTTGGACGAAGTATTTTTAATGGGTATTTCACAGGGATTTCGTTTGATATAAGAGGCCCTGTGGTTTGTGTATGATTTGCCTCCCCTGCCGGATCTTGGCCTCCGATATCCATGATCAGTAGCACAGTTACTTTTTTGTACAGCCATGACAATTGTACTAGGGATATCTGTGTAGAATCTTTAATGTAGTGGTTTCCCCTTGCCTTCTACATTCTTATGCCGTTGACAGTTTTTTTGTTCATACGCCTTCGAGTCCGATTTCTCAACCCCAGGACAAAAGAGTGCCCTACCACTTACTAACTCATCCGCCCGGATATGTGTAGATGGAGTAATTTGATCATCTGTTGTTTATCTATCACGTCCGCGGATTCGTCTGCATGCTATCCGATTGTTGTCGGTTTTTTTTAGCACAGATCAAGGGGTTTCGGTGCGGACGTCAGATATTGCGTCTCTCGGGAATTAACACAGACTGAACGATAGATGTGTCCAGATGTGTGGTCAGCTTGTGCTGATACATTTGCAGATGCATCCGTAGACGCGTCTGCCAATGTGTAGTGGAGGCATTAGAATCTACACCCATAGACCTTTTTTTTAAGTGAAATTGTGCGGAATATCATTGACAATACTGCATGAAAAAGAATACTGGAAATAATTTATTATTAAAATAATCTGGTCAATTTAGACATAAAAACAGTGGTCAAATAACAAAAATTCCCGGAAAGCCAAATATTGGTGGAGAGTTGGGTTTTACTATTACAATTAAAGTTTTAAAAATTTCCATCGATCGTATGTGTGCTACAAAAGTTATTAGGGACCAAAGGTCAAAATTTGAAGGTTTTTTGGATGATTCTCGAAAACGGCAAGTTTTATCAAAAAACAAAAAAAATCCCAAACCAAAGTTGTAGATCTTAAAATTCTCTTCAGAAATAATCTTTATGGGTTTTTTTAAGAGTTGCCATTCCTAAGACACCACGATTCTAAGAGTCACATTATTCATGATATGAACATGTAAGTCACGTATATACATATCAGGCACTTAAAACAAGTATAAATACCTATGTATGTCTCTTTTGTATATATTATACTATTCCTAAAACATTTTTTAAAAAGATAGTCCGTCTATAACCGTATCCCCTCTACCCACGTGGCCTTGAAAACATCTAGCTATTTTATAGTCAGCAGGTCTTGTTCATATACCTATTTCTTATCGGTGCTAAAGGTTTAGGTCAAGTAAATATAGTAGAGATAGTGCAAACACTCCTGACCACGGCGCAGTAGACGAAAGTTTGAATTTTGATTCCGCCTTCGCGCAGCTCCATGGCCAAGAGTGTGTGCACCATCTTTACTTACTACAAACGTATACCATTTAGGATATTTGTGCTATTTTATAGCTCTGAAAAATATCTCAGTTTTGCTTTATTTGCAATTAACTTTTAAGTAAAGATAAAACCGTTGTGGTTGATCGTGGAATGTCAAA